AGTTCCTGAGATCGTCGTGTTTTTTGTTGGTCTTGCGCGCGCGAATGTCCACTTTACTTTTTTTTGCAAGGGAGTATTGAAATTTGATTATGTTAGAACAAGAAAAAGTAGCTCGCGCGAGCTCATGTAACATAAATGTTGAAAAACCATTGGTTTTGTGGGAGTCGGACAGCGCGCGCGGGATGAAATTTGGACATTTTTTTTTGAAAAACCATTGGGTTTTTGATGTTTTTATGTTGAAATCGTTACGAAACCTAAGGTTCTGGAAGGATTTCGTCTTGCGCGCGCGAATGTCCACTTTACCTTATTTTTTGCAAGGGATTATTGAAATTTGATTATGTTAGAACAAGAAAAAGTAGCTCGCGCGAGCTCATGTAACATAAATGTTGAAAAACCATTGGTTTTGTGGGATTCGGACAGCGCGCGCGGAAGGACATTTTGACAATTTTTTCTTAAAAAACCATTGGGTTTTTGATGTTTTTATGTTAAAATCGTTACGAAACCTAAGGTTTTGGAAGGATTTCGTCTTGCGCGCACGAATGTCCACTTTACCTTATTTTTTGTAAGGGATTCTTGCAATTTGATCAAGTAAGAACAAGAATTTTCATTTTATAGTGTTTTTTGCAAGGGAAAACGGAGTACAACAAAAAACCTGATCCGGTGACAATCCACTTTTCTGAAGCTTTCGCGAAAAAATGATGAAAATGTAGCTGCGGCCTAGGCGCGGCGCAGAGGTCGCGCACCAGGGGTCCCAACAATAATTATTCTTTAGAAGTAATAATGTTCAACAACAAACACAACAACAAACAGTCGCGAGAAGGCTCCCGGCGGAACGCCCGCAGCATCGCCGTGCCTCGAGGCCTACTGCGGCCCGAAGGCGACGCTAGATGGCTTGCGCAGGGCGCCCTTTGCGTGACATGTCGCGGCCGTTCCATGTGAAACACCGCTCAGGAGCAGCCCCCCACGGGACGCAGAAAGACACGTACTAGTACTAGCTGAACAGATCAGTCAATACTGAAATGTCGAACTGAAACTACTGATCAGTCGAACTGAAACTACTGAGAGGCGTACGCCCGAACAGATCAGTCAATACTGCAAGGCTGTAGCATACCGCTGTCCAAACCGCATGGTCACAAAACGCACGCCATCAAGCATATCCTCTCGGATTTCTGAGCGCACGCGTCCCCCCCAAGGGCCGACGCACACATCGGACAAATATGAGCTGACGCTGCCGAACCGATTCTAGGAGGTGTGGGAGGCACGGATCCAAACTACCAAGCCTGGCTTGATCCAACCGGCTTAAGCGGGAGTCGGCGAGACTTAGCCGCATACTGGGCTGGGTCATGCAGTAGATGGTGGAAAGATGTATGTCCGTTCAAGCGGGAATGATACACTGGGCCGACGACGATTGTAAACCTCCCAGGATTTCCAACCTACCAGCAGGGGATGGCGAGAAGGCGCAAACCAGGTTCCTACACAAAGGCGAAACGTGGACGAAGCATGGCAGGGATAATCCGAACATATCTGAGAGCGGGTTTCTGGAGATGCATCGGCAATCTCGGCCGTTCCATCACTCTGGAACGCTCTGAGTGCTCTGGAACGCTCGGAAACGAATCAGATGTCCAAGCTCTACCTGAGGCGCATCACTCACAACGACTCGCCATCGCTCGGACGTCCATTTCCCGTGCATGTTTCGGTTTCGTGCGCTTGTGCTGTCGCAGGATAATCCAAGATACTGCTCCGGTCCAGGAGAGCCCTGAGTAGCCCCAAGAGGTGAACTCGGACTGACCCTTGGAGCCCTCCGCCCCAAGATGGCCCAGAAGACAAGATAGCCCCAACAGGCTCTTCAGAGGCCCCCAAGAGAGGCCCCACGACACCCCAACACCGCATCCAAAAGGCTTCCAAGAGGCCTCCCAAGGGATCGACAGAAGCATCGAAAAGGCCTCTGACCTTCAACCCAGGCGCGGTGGCGGGATGGCCACTAGACCCGCAACCCCTTATTGATTTCTCACAGGGGTGCCGCTCGTGCAAAACACTTGACTGTTGAGGGCCCCCATGGGTGCAACAAATCCCAACATCGTGAGAAATCACCACCAGAGCTGAAGACCCCGCCTTCCTCGTGCCGGATCGCCCTGAGTGGAGGGAAAGGAAACGACGACAACGACGAAGACTCAACGCGGGAACGTCGATGTCGATCTTGGTCAGAACAAAATCTGCGTGTGCCATCTTGAACACTGGCCATCGCTCGGACGTCCATTCCCTGTTTTTGTTTCAGGTTTCGTGCGTGGTTTTCGCCAACTGATCAAGGATGCGCCTCGATGGTCCTCTCCGAGAAAAAATGCACACGTCCGAGCGATGCCAGGCATCTTGACCATGGTCATCGTGTTCCTTCCCTCGACGGAGGGCCCTGGGGGTACGAACCGGGGTGAAGACGCCCAGCGTGAGAACAATAACTGCCACACGCGGATCTCATTAGGACGAGTTTGACGTCATTTGAGGGATGAACAAAACGACCCTACCCTGGGTTACAAGTGCGTGGTCTGTAAACCTCCTAAAAACCCCTAAAGCCTAGAGCCGCCAGGGCGCGGCACATTACGCAGGGTTTACCCTGTCAGGCCACAGGAGTTTCAGCGCACAGCGCCTGGTAAACCAGGGTAGGGGCGTTTTTTTATGCCATCGAGTCATGGTACGGTTGGCTCAAGATGCGTTCGCAAAGGCCTGGAATTTCTGGCGGCCCGCGTCTCTGCGTCCCGTGTGGAACATCAAGAGATCTCGAAAACCTGGGAAAAACAGGACATCTCGTAACGTATACTTGAGGTCAAATACCATCGTAAAGATAAGCTGCTTCACCAAGGCTACCCTTGCATTCCTGCTTCTTCGGTCCATCCTGAGCCACTGTTGACGTCCAAGGAGCTCTAAACAGTAAATGAAGTTTCCGGGTGTCTTGCGTCCTTACTTTGCGACCTAACCATGGATTATGACTTCATCGAGGCGTTTCGCTGATCTGACGCTGGGAAAACCAAGAAGTACCAATACCGCTACTCCCCAGACCTCCCGGGGCGCGTTCTGACAAGCATGTCGAGGCGCATCCAGCGGTGGCGACGAGGGCCGCCCCGGAGTTCCGAAAGGGGAAAACGAGAGAAGGGAAGCGGTATGAGAGGCCTCCTAGATGGGGTCCGAGAAGATGGGGTCGACGGATCGTGCCGCATCGCCAAAGCATCGACGATGTATTGGTATTGGCGCTGCATCGGCGACGTTGGCGATGCATCGGCGGCGTAGGCGTGGGTAAACACGGGCTCCGCATCGAGCCGCATCGCCGACGCATCGGCGACGCGGCGTGATCCTCCCACCCCAACCATCCCGACCCCACCTGCTAACTAGGCCTGGAGGTATGGGGCACCTTTCCCTCCTCTCGTTGTTCCTGGCCTCGTGCTCAACCGACCCGAGGGGCTGGGGGCGAGCCGAGCACCGAGCAGCGGCATCGCACGAGGCGGGCCCCTGCGCGGGGGCGACCTCTCCCTTCGCTCTCTCCCTCCGTCGCTGCCCCTGGCCGCTCCCCGGCCTCGACCCGACGGCCCGTCGCGCGGCCGCGCTCGAGAAGGCGATGTGTCCGTTACCAGCCTGGAACATATCCCTACCCCTATGCTGGGCACCTCCTCATCACGATGCCACTCTTAGGGATTCCCTTACTTTTTGAGGCCGACTCCCTAAGATTGTCGTCGCCTTTTGGCGTGCCAATCTTAGGGATAGGGATACGCTCGAGGCTGGTACGTCCGGTCCGCCTCGCCGCCCTCGCGAGCAGACGCCTGGCCAGGAGGGTGCCCGAGCCGGCTGGGGAGCCCCCCGAGGTGAACTGCCGCGCGGCGGGCCTGGGGCCGCGAGCTGGCCGCTCCCCCCTGTCTCTCTCCCTTCTCCATCTCTCCCCGGGCCGCCCGAGCTCCTTATCCAGCCCACGGGGGAGGCGCCCCAAAAGGAGAGGGCGCGGCTGCCCCTGGCCATCGCTCGGACGTCCATCCCCTGTGCTTTCTCCGGTTTCGTGCGTGGTGCTTTTTCGCCAAATGATCAAGGATGCTCCTCGATGGTCCTCTCCGAGAAAAAATGCACACGTCCGAGCGATGCCAAGGCCCCTGCGAGGGGTCGGCGACGCACCTGCGATGCACCGGCGATGGTCGGGGAGCTGCTGACCCAGGCCAGTCCGGGCCCAGCTCCGTCGGGCCTGGCAGGGTCCCGCAAGCTCCTGCAAGATCCTGCAGGATCCTGCAGGATCCTGCGCCCGAGCCCGTGTCAGCGGTGCGACAGTGCCACCCTGCCTCTGCAAGATCCTGCAAGGTCCGGCGCTCTGACTGACACCCGTTGGCACGGACCCCCGTCGCTGGAGCCCCGAGGGGGTCGGGCCAACTCTCGGGGGAGGGCCCGTCGAGACGGCGGCGGCCACCCCCAGCGCTCCTCTTGCCCTGCTTCTGCGCCGCCCAGGAGCCTCTCGTCGCGACGGCCCGGAGATCCGCCCCGAAGCACGGGTCAGGAGTGGCCTGGGATGACAGATTTGGGCTGGACGGGGGGTGAACGTGCTGTTCTTCGGCGTTTCGGCATTGTGCGGGGAGGGGGGGAGGGGGGGGGGGCAACTGGCTCCAGCCCTTTGTTTCATGCGACTCCTTGCAGCAACGCGTCCTGTAGGTAGGGGAGGCTCCACCCGCTTGGGGCAAGCGCCCAAAACAGCCAAGATCCACTCCATGGGGGGGGGACGAGGGGCCCGCGCCGATCGGCAAAATCATAATGAAGAAGGAAGCGATCACGAGAAATGTTGTTTCGACGGGCCCTCCTCTAAACGTCGGGCTTCGGATCTGGACTTTGCCAATGCATCGGCGATGCGGCACGATCCTCTACCCCCCCCTGCCGCGGCATCGTCTGGGAAGCCTGGAAGGAGGCACCAACAAAAACACATCCATCAATCATGATGCACGTCCTCATTGCGAATCCGGGTGGCTTTGAATCCCTCGCGCCCGCAACGGCCATCATCTGCGTGGGCTCGCCATCTTCGTCGGTGATGATGTGCTGGAGAAGCACGTAACAAACAGAGCAAACAAACACCGAGACAATAAATAACCCATGTGAACATAAATGTGCACAACTGCCAAAGCCGTACGTCCCCCCCAAGAGAAGCGGGGGCGCCCAGCGCAGCCAGCTGCTCTACATGTCATACAACCACTGTGGCGAGGCCAGCGGAATAGGTCAGGGCGAGAGACGGAATGCTGACATGGATACACATGGACACGTTCACCCTCTGGCTTCCCAGGGGCCCAGAACAGAGAGGCTTTGACGTCCTGGGTTCCAGAGCAGAGACGCTTTGCCGTCTTCGGCTCCTGTCCTGCTCCTCCTGCCCCTTCTCCCCAATACCTCTCCGGCAAGCAAACATTCAATCATCAGCACTTCTGCCCTCCGTGGCCAAGCGTCCGAGCGTCGCCGACGGTGGTCACGGGCGACAGCCGATCAGCGCCGCGTCCGACTGCTGACACGCAAAAGCAGCTGCCAACCACTGCCACAAGCCATCACTGTGAGCCTGGCTGGGTACCTCACGCTTCGAGCTCCGTGCTGCGCGACGAGCGCTTCATCCTCGCGCTCCCGTGCCAGCCCTGCTTCCCAGCCCGCGGAGCGCTGGGCGCGGCAATCTCCGCGCCCGCCGCGGGAGACCCGGGTCACCTGTCGACGATCGGCTGAAGGCCCCGTGACCAGCCCCGGCCCCGCCCTTCCCCCCCACCCCTGGTTCGGGGATCTCCTGCCCGGGGTCAATCCAGACCCGGGTCAGTCCAGCCTCGCAGAAGCCTGCAAGATCCTGCACCCAAACCCGGGTCAATGCGAAGGATCCTGCAAGATCCTACAGGATCCTGCACCCTAACCCTGGTCAATGCGACCCTGGCCCTGCAGGATCCTGCAAGATCCGGCGCTCTGGCTGACCCCCGTTTGCATTGACCCCCGTCTCTTGAGCCCCGACTGCTCACCTCACGATACGCGCCAGCGCCGTCTGGGAATGAGCCGTTCCTAAGCATTCCCAGACGGCGCCAGCGCGAAACGTGACGTGACCAGAAGACTCCTCAGTTTCCCCCCATCCCCCCTGGTCACGCCCGTTAGTGCGACGGATATAAAAACCATCTCAATCGCCGTCGTGCGAATCCCGCGGCGGCGCTGGCACCCAACAGCAGACGACCACCTTCAGGACGCTGGAGGTGGCGAGAAGACGAGGAGAGGGAGGTCCCCAGGCTTCCAACAGAGCCCACAAGCTCGGACACCTGGCAGGTTGGCCATCCGGGGACTCCCTCTCCAATGGTCCACCCTGACTTGATCTCCTTGGGTCTGGCCGTGGCGAAGAGAATCAAGGGGCCCCAGGACACACAAATAAATACACACAAGTAAAAATATTCCCCATATTTTCCCATATCTTCTGGGTTGTTGTCTTCCCCCCCACTTCCCATAGTTTCCCAAATTTTTCCTGGGGGCTCGACGATTAATTGTGTCTGTGTGTTTTTGTTCTCCTCCTGACAATGGTCTACCCTGCCTTGATCTCCTTGGGCCTGGCCGTGGCGACGCGAACCCTCCCAGCGGCCCCGAGGAGGACGAAACACGTCGGGGAGGACCGCCGTTGTCTGGACCGGCCCGCCTCCGGTCTTCTGTCCATCGCTCGGACGTCCATTCCCCGTGCTTTTTTCGGTTTCGCGCGTGGTTTCTTTGGCCAAATGATCAAAGATGCTCCTCGATGGTCCTCGCCGAAGGAAAAATACACACGTCCGAGCGATGCCCAGTCTTGGGCCATCTCGGGGCCTCCAGCTCGAAACCGTGCGACGACCGCGGACAGCTCCAGTGCTGCGTGCGGGAGCACCGCGGGCAGCGCGCCAGGACGCCGCCTTCACGACACAACGGCACCACAGCATCGCCCACCGTCAGTCCCGCTTCCGCGACCCGCGGGCCGGATGTTGGAGGCCACCTGCTGCCACCCGACTGTGCGCCTCGCGCGCCCCGCGATGTGAGGCGCGGCGCGCGGTTTCAATGTTTGTATCCTCGCCCCGCAGGGGCACCTTGGAGACCAGCAGCTCTCCAGCCGGGGCCGGGACGCGCGAGGCACAACTGTCTTCGCGCCCCTGGGTGTGACCCAGATCTTTCAGCCGGCCGAAGTAGCCCGGAGGAAAGCCGCGCGGGCCTCCGAGCATTGCTCAAATCTGCAGTTCCTCGCCTTCCCCCCTCCGAAGAAGCGGCACAGACATAGACTTCGAGACCTGCGCGGATGGTTGTGGATTTGCGCTGGGCCCCCCGGCGGCGCTTCCAGCGCCGCCCCTGGCGCGCTCCGCGCGCAGGGGAGGGGGGCACAACTCAGCGCCCCACAAACGGGGACTCCACTAACGGGTACTTTGGCCAGTGACCCAGCGAACCCAACCCTTCCCGATGCGGGCAACGCTGCATCGCCAGAAAGAGGCCCTAAAGTGGCAACTTTCGGCAAAATTGCAAAGTACCCGTTAGTAAGTACCCGTTACGGTGCCGTTGAACAACGCAGATCCAAGAAAATCCGCGCGCGGCTCCGAAAATCGATGTCTATGCCGCTCCTTCAGACAGAGCGCCCGCTGCAAGGCCGCAGCTCTTCTGGGGGCCCCTCTAAGGCCCCCTCGCCTCCCGCTGCAACCGCTGCAGCCGCTGGGGAGGCGGCCCCCATCAGCCCGTGGGCGGGGCGCGTCGAGAGGCGCGGGAGCGCCTTGGGCCCGAAGTCCGAGAAGACGGACGTCGTCACGCCCATGTTGACCTGGAGGCCTCCCCCAGGAGGCCCGAGCCGATGGGGTCGGAGGATCGCGCCGCATCGCCAATGCGCCGACGATGCATCGGCGCGGAGATGATCGGGCTGCACGTGGAGTGGAGCCGCATCGCCGATGCACTGGCGATGCGGCGAGATCCTCCGACCCCATGCGCCCTGACCCCATCTGAGAGGCCCAGACGACCGCCATGATGAACGCTATGCCCTTGGCGCGCGCCGCGCTGTTCAGGCCCAGCAGCGTGGCGCGCGGCAGCAGGTCGGTGACGACCACCTGTGGCCCAGGCCGCCCGGCTCCTCACGAGCGGTGCGCCACGCCAACTTCGCCTCCCTGGGGTTTCAAGCCGGGGCTGGGAGGGAGCGCTCCTGAACAACGGTCGCGGCAGCGAGTTGCGCGGTGACCTCACATGCCTACGGATTGGGGACACAGCTTGGTTCTACCCCCTGGGGTTTCAAGCCGACCATGCCTGGCGCCACGCAGTGGAGACGGCCATCACAGATTCCAGCGTTCAAGACTACACATTCTGAGAACTGCTCTCCTCTCTCCCCCGACTCCGCCGGTTCTGCCAGCGCATCATCTTCACATGCAAGCCTGGGCAGTGCTTGCTATGCTTGCGCCTGCTTGCAGTCCAACCATCTTTCGGTGGTTCAGCATGGCGATCCCGCTGCAGCGTGAGCCCCGTTTTCGGATCGGCGCTTTGCTCTCGCCGTTCAGAATGGCGCTCTAGCCCTACAGAGGGTCGTTCCTCCGGATCCGGGTCTGTTTCCATTGTTGTCGCCCCCTTCGTTGCCCCGCCTCCACCTTCCCCTGTTCCTCCTGCTCCGCCCGCTCCTTCCGCTCCAGTTCCTGCTGCCGTTCTTTGTCGTCCTCTGCGCACCTAGCTTGATATTATTTATTGTTTCCTCTCTCTCTCTCTCGTTCCTCCCCTCTATCTCAGAATATGTGCCTGCACTCTCTCATCCTTCCCCACTCCAACTCCCGCACCCAAAAAGTCGCGGCTCCCTTTCGCCCATTGCCAGCCGCATCACGGATGCCTCCTTCCCTTTCGACGGAAGCTGCTGATAGTGGTAGTGGTGAGGCCATTCCATGAGGTCCCAATGACGACTATTATGCTGGGGTCCTCGTCGCCGTTTTCGACAATCTGACAACCGAAATACAAATCATCGTACGTAAATCGCATCCCAATATAATTCACAAGCTAAAACAAGCTAAACTAAACCAGCCACCACATTAATGCAGCCGGAACTGTTCTATGACCACACACTGCACTTACCCCAGCCCTGCTCAGGCCCATGCCTTTGCCTGTTGGCGGGCCACGGTCAGTCTATCATCAACATGATATGCAGAGATGCTGGCTAATCCCGCGAAGCCAAGGGGCTCCCACGCTGCAGCGATAACATCGACGCACGGCCGAGATGTGGTCAGGTTGGGCCGGACAGCCAAGGCTGCAAAGGGCAATGCCGCGGCAATATCCGGACAAAACCCTGAAATATTGCAGGCGTTCGCGGCCGGTGCCTGCCCTGAGCCTGCCCTGACGTGGGCCGTGGTCTTGGACGCAGCGCGGCTGCGGGCCTGGCCAGGGCCGCCAGACTAATTGCGTGCACGGTGCATGCCCTTCCCCCACTCCCTCCCCCCTCTGCCGCGGGGCGCCTGTTCGCATGGTAAAAAAAAGTGCAATATCGAACAATGCCCGTTTCCGGGTGGAACGCTTCCACCTCCCATCCCTCGGGAACGGATTTCTCGCTCGCCGCGAGCTGTTTCTTCTGTTGCACTCCGGAGCCAGAGAGCGTTCCACCTAGAAGCGCCCGCGCCGTCGTCACCGCCCTCGCCGCCAGAGCAAAAACGCCCCCCTTGCGGCAGATAAACCTAGGAAACTTTACCAAAGGGACCCTGGGACACACTTGAATTAAATAGACACAGATCCCAGGATCCCCAGTATTTTCTAATATTTTCTGGGGTTTTGTTCCCCCCCCCCCACTTCCAATATTTCCCCACAGGTCCCTGGGAGTCGACGATTCATTGTGTCTGTGTGTGCTTTCCCTTCCTGATGTTCACAAGTCAACATCGGGGGCCACCATGCGGGGCAACGAACTGGGACCCATGGTCGCAACGATGGGCCACGGGCTTCGGTGGCCCAGGCTCCCTTACGTGGCGTTGGAAGCATGACTAACGTATAACCTGCACGAACAAGGTGATTTGGGCGCCGAGCATGTCTGCGTCTAGCCGGGTAACGCCGCCCCCTCTTTAGCCGGAACGGCAAACAACGTACCGATCCCGCAACTCCCCCGACCCCTCCCAGGGCGCAGCTCCCCCGACGTCCCCCGTACCTCCCCCTGGAGATTTCAAGGAACATTTTATCGTAGCGACTGGGCTCCCCACGACGAACAACGGCATCGTCACCCCCAAACCGCAGATGATTTGTAATGATTTTACTTTTCGCTTGGATGTGTTGCGACGCGCTCGTTTCGTTGACTGACAGCGCTGAAAAAGGTGGAATGCTGATCCAGGTACTGCCAAGTCTCCATGCGCCGATGTTTCGAATGCAGCGCACTTCCGAACTCAAGCGCCAAATTTTGGAGCAGAACTTGTCCGCGAACGATACTCGAAATTTCAAGGGGTTCCCTGGCATCGCCATGTGTCAATTGCGTCGGCACGCCCACTTGCAAGCCCAATGAAGAAGCGCACGCCTCCCACTCGGACAAAAAAAGGCCGATGAGAAGATTCGACGGCCCATTCTAAGGCCGCCGATGACAACGCAACGCGGTACGGTGCATCTTTGGTGTTCTCCAAGAAACACACGAAGTATGCACCGTACCGCCCGGAAACCTACATATGGCGAGGCCTCCCAGAAAATCCTTCTGACCCTTCACCCGCGGAACCGCCAGACCCCGCGAGGATTTCCAACGGCGCGGACGCGGGCGCAAGTCAGTCCACAAACCCTGCACCAGCATCGTGCGCAAATCGGCAAGTATGACAAGTGCACCAAGGAGGTGGCCACGGTACGGTGCATGTACATCGTCCGCGGAACTTTGGCTTCGGAATTCCTGAATCCACCCGCCGCCCGTGCCCCGCCGAATTCGACAAGCGGGGCCGCCGCGGTCATTGGCGCAACGGCGGCAACGGCTGGGCAGCTGAAGTTTCGCTGCCGCGCGCCCATGGGGATCAGGCTGAGCGGGACGAGTTGGTTGAGCATTGAATCGAGCGGGCCCTCAGGAATGACAGACGCCGAAACCTTTGTCTTTTCCTCTGCCCTATCTCAACTGTGGACCCCTCTGGTCTCTCCCCGTTTGGGCACCCTGGCCCTCCCGCCCCCGCCTCCGAGCGAGGGATCATGCCTGATGGTGCCTCGCAACCAAAGGCACGGGGGAAGGGCACGTGGACTTGGCTACCGGCAGGCCCCCCGTCGGGTTGGGCGCGCCCTCCAGGCGCCGTGGCCGCAGCGCCGTCTGATGCTGCACTCGACGCAGCCGCGGCAGGCCTTCCGAAGACCGCGTCGGCGGCGCGCCACGCCTGCTTGCCTCGGGTCGGGCGAAAGGGGGGGATAGCAAAGGGGGGGTTTGAGAATCAGCTCACGTAGCTGATTCTCCTGGCGCCTCCCGGCACCGGAGGCGACTATGTATCGAGGAATGGGCCCCTCGGCGAAGCCGAAACCAGCTGCATGCAGCAAATTTCGTAACCCCCCCTTTCCCAATCCCCCCCTTTCGCCCGGCCCGATTGCCGCGCCACGGCGCCTCGCAGGGCGGCGCCCAGGCGCGGGTGCCTCACGAGGTTGCGCCCGGGGACGAGGGGTGCTCGTGGTCAACACCGATGCCCGCGCGCAGCCCGGTCGGTTTATCTACATCCTGTCCTGCTGCCACACCTGCTGTGACCATTATGTCCGCATCTGCGCACCCGCTTATGATGCGAGCCTGATCTCTCGCGTGTCCACATCCAGTCGCCATGTGCTGCTCAAGACCACTCCCCCGAGGCTGCAAAACGAGGGGTAGACAGCGTGCTTGGGAAACTGGCGTCGAGATAACTCGGTGTTTTTTTCACCGGCAGGCGTACAAATAAACACATAAGGTGTTCTGTGTTGGCCTGCTCCGCGGGTCACGAATGACAACCATTTCAAGAGAGGGGGTGCCAGAGCCCAGCAATAAAAAAAAGCGGCGGCCGCACACCCGGCCGAAGAATCATTCGCCGGGCCCGGGCCGTTTGTCGACGGCGCTGGCGCGCAGCTGTTGCTCTCTTACCCTAAGAGGGGGAGATCAGCCAGTGGGGACGCGCGGCCAAGGGGACCAGATTGGGCGCCCGAGTTATCCAGGGTAACTCGGGTCCGGGGTAACTCGGGTTTAAATTCCCAAGAAAGAAACCCGAGTTAGCCCTGACCCGAGTAACCCCTGATGATTCGGGGCTCTGGACGCCCGAGTTATCCGGGGTAACTCGGGTCCGGGGTAACTCGGGTTTGGATTCAAGGAAAAGGAACCCGAGTTAGCCCTGACCCGAGCTACCCCTGATGATTCGGGGCTCTGGACGCCCGAGTTATCCGGGGTAACTCGGGTCCGGGGCAACTCGGGCTTGGATTCCCGAAAAACGAACCCGAGTTAGCCCTGACCCGAGTTACCCCTGATGATTCGGGGCTCTGACCAGAGGCCACGGGGGCCACGCGCCACAGGGCGCGGGGCGCACTGGCCACATCTGAAGGGGCCCCAGGACACACAAATAAATACACACAAATATGAAAGGACTCCTCATATGTTCCAATATCTTCTGGGTTTCTGTCTTCCCCCCACTTCCCATATTTTCCCATATTTTCCTGGGGATCGACGATTAATTGTGTCTGTGTGTTTCTTCTCCCCTCCTGATCATCTGCTGTAGCGAACAACGGGCGACTTGTGCACGGTCAACGCTTCGCGTACCCCCGCCGGCCCACGCGAGAACGCTGCCCAGGGAGTCCGTCCCCCTCTCGGGGGAGCGCGGCGTGATGTGGAGGGAGCTCGGGGAACTCCTGTGCAGCAGAAGCGTTCTGGATGCTTCTGGGAGCGGCGTGGGCTGTCCCTCGGGGGCCTCTTGAGGCCTCTTCGGGCATTGTGGGGGGCCTCTGGACGGCTTGTGGTGGCCTCTGGGGGGGTCTTGCATGCTTCCTGTAGGCCTATTGAAGCTTCTTGGGGCCCTTCTTGCCACGCCGCTCATCGGCGTCCCATGTCCGGCCATAAACGTGCCGAGCAGACGAAAGTTTCAGATATGAGCGTCAATCGATCAAACATGCTCTGGGCCTCGCGGTCAATGTAGGTGAACGCTCATGGGGGGCCCGAAAGATCGCATCGTGGTCTGTGGCTATCGGCCGGGACCCGCGCTAATGGCGGATTCCAATTCCGCGCCTGGCCAGAGCACTCAGCGACGGGCGCGACGCTTGCCGCGCGGGTGCAGCGGCGTCAAACGCGCGTGGTTCGGGTAGGCGGTTCGCTTCCCGAGCGGATTGCCTCGTACCTCGCCCGCCTTCTTCCCCGACGTCCAGGCTCTACCAGCGTCTCCCCATTCGGAGCCACATGTTCGGCCTCAGCCCCAGCCCACGGCGACGTATGTTTTTTCAATGTGGGGTACAGGGGACGTCCCGTTCCTTTCCCCAGGACCAATTCTTCTTCATCCAGGGTCGTTGCCCCAAGGCCCGGCGAAAACCCTGCCGAGGCCGCAACTGGCGCAAACGGACCCTCGTGCTTTCTGTCACGACTCGAGGGGCCTCCTGAGATCCAACGCCAGGAACAAAAATCACACATCACGAAGAACGCGACAAGAGCACTAATCCCATCCTTCAGCACCCTTTTTCTCGAGCTGGCTCGATCTGTGATGTCCCCGGACCCCGACGCCAGGCGAAAGCGCCCGTCTCGAGCAAATGGAGGGGCAACAAACTGCACAAACAGGAACGTCTGGAACTCCGCGCGGACTCAGTGGATCGGAGCTGGACCTCCCTCCCTGGCGCGGGGAGCGCGCCAGGGGCGGCGCCGGAGGCGCCGCCAGGGGGGACCAACTCAGATCAAAGAAACCCGCGCGGAGCTCCAACAACCTGTGCTCATGCCGTTTTTCCTTCTTCGAGATCTCACGGATCTGACGTCTGTCGCCTACGAACGTCGTCCTCGCCGCCGCCGCCGCCGCCGCCGCCACTCTCGGCCGTGCCGGCCGTTCCGTGGCCCGCGCCCGCCGCTCCGTAGCCTCGCCCCGTCGCCTGGACGTTGGCCTCGCCGAGGGCCGCCGGCAGCGCCTCCTGGGGGCGCCCATGCCGCGGGCGCAGGGCACGGCAAGCGAGGCGGCGGCGGCCAGAGGAAGAGGTACCCATGCTGCTATCCTTCCCTCGTTCTCCCCCGTTTGGACCTCCGGGGAGGCCCGCGTCGCAACCGCTGGACTCGCCTCGAGCTCGAGATCCTGGCGTGAACGCACCTGGGGAGAGGTCCGGGGAGTGGCGGTATCGGTGACTTTCAGATTCGCCCCACGCACTGCGGGCGCGGGGCACGGCCGGAGAGGCGACGGCCAGAGGCAAGGAAAGCCCCCAAGTGCCTGAGACAGGCGACCAAACAGAAGCAAGATCTCCTCCGTGGAGGAGGAGGAGGAGGAGGAGGAGGAGGAGGAGGAGGAGGAGGAGGAGGAGGAGGAGGAGGAGGAGGAGGAGGAGGAGGAGGAGGAGGAGGAGGAGGAGGAGGAGAAGGAGGAGGAGGAGGAGGAGGAGGAGGAGGAGTAGGAGGAGGAGGAGGAGGGGGAGGAGGAGGAGGAGGAGGAAGAGGAGGAGGAGGAGGAGGAGCAGGGGGAAGGAGGAGGACGAGGAGGGGGAAGGAGGATGATGCTGGAGTTGGGTGGCCCTTCCTCTCCCCTCCCTCGGCAAGGGCGCGCCTCGGCCCCAGGCGCCGCGCCGTGCACGGCGAGGGCTTCGCGGGCGGGGGCGCAGGAAACGGACGAAGCCGCTGCCAGAGAGGGGAAGAAGCGCCAGCCCCTGCATCATGATCATGCTCCGTCCCCCGTCGTGGTCGTCGCAATCTCGTCGTCGTGGTCGTCGCGACGGTCGCGGCCATCGTGGTCGTCGTCGTCGCCGTGCTCGTCGTCGCGGCCGTGGCCGTGGCCGTCGTCGTCGTCGTCGTCGTCGTCGTCGTCGCTGTCGTCGTCTTGGTCGTCGACGTGGTCGCCGACGTTGTCGTGGTCGCGGTCGCAGTCGTGGTCCTGTGCCACTCCGAGCGTCTCCACCTTGCAGTAAGGGTTCAGCGACTTCAGCTGCGCGAGGCACTCCTCGGGGGGGCGCGGGCCGCGGCGGCGCCCAAGGAGCGCGCGCGGCCGCGGCGGGGGGGCCGCGGGACACGAGGGCGGGAGGGGCCCAGCGGTTGCGGCCGAGAGCGGCGAGAACAGATTGGGCCATCAGCCCATGACCGACCGCGCAGCGGGATACGAAGCCCCTCCTCGCCGCTCCTCCTCCTCCTCCTCCTCCTCCTCTTCCTCCTCCTCCTCCTCCTCCTCCTCCTCCTCTTCCTCTCCTTCCCCTTCTCCTCCTCCTCCTCCTCCTTCTCCTCCTCGTCCTGCTCCTTTTCACAATACGGCGACGTTGATCGAAGCTGGACAAGCACAATCCTTTTTCCCTTTGCAGAGCTCCTCCTTTCGCACTCCAAGACGTGTCGCAAGGGCGGGCCAGGCGTTTCGCACGAGTCTTCCTCACCACTGATGATCCTGAAGTTCACAATTTGCAACAAGAATGTGGCTCTTGCACTAGTGCCGCGCACATTCGTCTTAAAAGTGTACAGGAACTGCACGAACGGAGGGAGGGTTGTTTTCGAAACGTGGTTCTCACTTTAACGCAGAGCAAACTCGTCTCACACCATTGCTGGAGCTTCACAGATGGAGCGCGGGTCGTCTTCAACATGAGGCTCTCGCTTTTCGGGGTCCACCAAAGGGGGGGGACACCGAGGGGGGGGGGGGGTGATTACGATCCACTGGTGCATCGAATTTCCTAAAAACGATGCCCCCCCCCGCGCGCCCCGACTGTCGACACCTCTCGGGTTCCGGCGGCGGCTGGAGACCTCGTTTTGCATAGTTGTTCTGCGGCTTGATGCGCCAGCGGACCGAACTCACCCCCCCTTGCACAATTTAAAAACGAATGTTCGCGGCGCCAAAAGAAACAACCACAATTTGAAAACCACCCGCCCTCCATCCGTGAAACTCTTGCTACGTTTAATACGAATGAGCGCGGCACTGAGGCGAATGACATACTTTGAAAAAGAGCCGCCCTCAATCCGCCAAGCTCTTGATATGTTTTCAAACGTGTGCGCGCGGCGATAAGGCGAGAGCCACATATTGAAAACCACCCGCCCTCAATCTATGAAGTTGTTGCCATTTGTTCAGTTTCAGGGTGACAAATGGTGAGGGAGTCTCAAGCGAAACGCCCGGCCCGCACTACAAACTCGCCTCGGGGTGCGACAGGGCGAACCTCGTATAAGGAAAAAGAATGGAGGAGGAGGAGTGGAGGAAAAGGAGGAGGAGGAGGAGCAGGGAGGCGGGAGCTGGGAGGAGGCGGGGGTGAGCGTGGAGAAAGACGGGGGCGGGGAAGTGCGAGGGGAGAAGGGGAGGCCGCCCCCCCCCCCCCCCCCAGCCCCGCCGAGCCTGGGCCCTGGGCTTCCCCACGCTCGCGTCGGAGAGGTAGAAGTTGGCGCCGCGGTCCTGGAGGGCGCGGCTGCCGCCCCGCGGGAGAGGAGGTCCCCCGGGCGGGCCGCCGTGCGTGGGGGGGCGGGGAGGCTAAGGCGCTGAAGGGGGGGGGGCTCTCTCGCTCCCACCCGCGCAGGTCATGCACACTCGAGCTGTCTCTCTGTGAGTCTCGGAGGCTGGCCATCGCTCGGACGTCTATTCCCTGTGTTTGTTTTTTCCGGTTTCGTGCGTGGCTTTTTCGCCAAGTGAGCAAGGATGTTCCTCGATGGTCCTCGCCGAGAAAAAATGCACACGTCCGAGCGATGCCAGGGACGTAATGCAGCAGACGTGCGCCCCTGGTTGCGGCTGCCGGCCCCGACGAACCACGCGCGGAGGCAGATGCAGTGGCTCGCTGCCTGCGCGGGGCCTGGCCGTCGAACACAAAGGACAGGGCACACGAAATGGAGGGAGGGAAGGGGGGAGAGGAGGGGGAGGACTCTTCTGTTCGACGACTCGGGCTGCATGCCGGAAAGTAACGCGCCGCAAGAACTGCGAATCCTGATCCTGCTCCCTACTACTGGGACGTATCCCCGCCGTTGTCTTTGTCCACCGTTTTCGAACACATGTCTTTTGCAAATGGAAACGGTGGAAAACAGCGACCAGAAACAAACAACAACAAAAAACGGACAAGCCACGGCCGAGGAGCCAGCAACAACAACGCCGACGGAACCTGCAAGACAACGGCGGAGAGGAACCGGCAACAAACACGGCCATGTCGTTTCGGGGGCCCACGGAGTCCCGTCCTCACAGCCACGCAGGCCGGTGCGCGCGAGCGGTGCCGGCAGACAGGCACGCGTGGTCGCAGGCAGGCTGCGCGCGAGGGCGTTGTCGACTGCGCCTCGTGCTGAGGCAATCCCGTATCGTGTGCCGCACGGTGCCGCGGGCGGAAGAGAAAGATAGACCGGAGGGGGAGGAGGAGGAGGAGGAGGAGGAGGAGGAGGAGGAGGAGGAGGAGGAGGAGGAGGAGGAGGAGGGGGAGAAGGAGGAGGAGGAGGCGCGGAGCTCCAGAGAGGCCAACGGAGAATGGTCTATGGAGAGAAGATCGGGGTGACCCCCTCAACTGGAAAGGGCCCATCCTGCAGGTTCGGTTAAACAACAACACATCTTTGAGCGGTGCTGCAGCCTCGCACAGACCCCCCTCAGAGCATCAGCCAGGCAAAACGGGTGGAGGAGGAGGAGGAGGAGGAGGAGGAGGAGGAGGAGGGGGAGGTGACCCATTGGCTCTTCACAAGAGCAGCACCCTTGGGCCTAACCCCTTTGGGGATCAAACATCAAAACCAGTCGGGTGGCCCGTTCCCCTCCGCCTCGGACCCCGAGGCTACGGAAATGCCGCAGGAGGACGGGGTCGGGAGCGCCGGCCGCGATCCTTCAAGGCAACGTGGACAGATCACGACGTCGGGTACCAATTGCTGCCCCGAAGGCTCGCAGTGGTTCGCTGGTGGTGCCCCAAAGCGCGCCGACCGCTGCGGAGGGCGGAGGAGGTGGAGCCACGACAACGGAGGGCAGAGGAGGAGACAGGAGAAGACAGACGACGAGGCGAGGGCGCTGCGCATACAGGGAGAGGGGGGGCAATGAACGAGGAGGTGAAGAAGGGTGCAACGCTCTCGTGCACCGTCGGGGCCCCAGGGGGACCCCTTGGTGGCACCCTAGAGGGCCCCTTTTCTGCAAACCTCGATCCGCCCGCCACCCCTTGCGAAACGCCCGAGCGGCGGAAGGGGATCCCGGAAGCGCGCAATGTTGCAGGCCGCCCGTGGTCCTCTGCCTTCGCGACCGCGGGGTCCCAGACCACGACGCTGCCGACGTTGCTAAGGATGAGGTTCTTGGCGGTCTCGACGCCCACGCCTCGGCAGCCGATCACGAGGACGTTGAGGTCCTGCACCAAGCAGAGGAGTACAAAGGAAGCCAAGACGCGGTCGTCAGCCCACGGCCGTCTGCAGGCATTGCTCGGGGAACGAAGCCCCCAAGAGTCCTCTCCCGAACAAATATGGTATATACCTACATTGTACGTCAGGCGTTCCGCAACACTCCCGTCTTCAGAAGCAGCCCGTTCCCTTAATTCTCATCCCTCCTCTCCCCTCATTGACATTTGAAGGCGCCAGGTCTCACTAGCCAGGCCACGCTGGCCCCGACTTGCGAGCAACATCCCACATGCGGCGGTTGATACCTGGCCTAACTCTTGCGGCACCTCCCCCCGCTGCCTCCCCTTCCTCTTTTGCCAACGCATGCCCTTCCCGAAGTCTGTCATGGCCAAGAGTTCGAGGAAAGGGCCGAACCGTGGCGAGCAGGGCCCCCCGGCAGGCCCAGAAGTCAACAATCACTCAAAGTCCTCCTTCTCCTCCTCCTCCTCCTCCTCCTCCTCCTCCTCCTCCTCCTCCACGTGAGCGACACAGCGGTCAAGCTCTTGCTTGTGGCCCGCTTCCCCCCGACGTCCGCTGGGGGCGCGTTCTGACCGGGCCGGCCAAGACGTACCCGGCTGCTGCCAAGGAGAGGCCCCCCCCCGAAGAGCCCACACACGGAACAATCGGCTCGCGAAGAGCAGCCGTGTGCAGCGTGGAGCGGCGCAGCGCGACGCCTCGGGTGCATATAGCGCACGCCGCGGGAACGGAGGGCAGCATGGGTTTGCCGCCACGCTGAAAGGATGCCTGATAGAGCACACGACTACCTACCAGACCACTCCAACCCAGCCCGAAGACCCGAACTTCGGGTTGGGGGGAGGGTATAGGCTCCATGTGCTTTTTCGATGTTCCCCGACCCCCACCCACCGGAAATGGATGGCAAATTGAGGCCTTCGGGTTGAGTTGGGGTGGTTTGGTGGGTGGTGAGCCCAAGGTGGAGCTCCTTGTGGGAAACGATCTGGCTGAGGGACGTGGGCGAAGTGAACGGAAGGCCCGCGCGCGAAGGGAACGACACGTGCGAGTGGGGAGGCGCAGTGGAGGACCGACGGGAGTACGTGAAGTAGACACATGGGCGGGGCCTCCTTGCGGACTCTCGCGCTGTGGCCGTGGGTGGAGTAACCATGGGTGCGCGGAAATGGGCGGCGCCGCCATGTGGACCCTCGCACTGGGGCCTTGGTTGAAGCTGGCCCATGGGGGCACAATCCTCGTGAGGTCTAATCCAAATGGACGGCGCCGGCATGCGGACCCTCCCACTGGGGCCGTGGGTGGAGCTCGCTTTGGGGCCACGATCCTTGTGCCACGTGAGGCCTCCCACTGATGCCACACTGGGTGGAGCTCCCACCCTCCCTCTGGGGCCGCGGCTGGAGCTAACCACGATCCTGGTGCCACGCGAGCCCTCCCACTGAGGCCAGACTGGGTGGAGCTCCTACCCTCCCACCGGGGCCGCGGCTGGAGCTCCCTTTGGGACAACGCGTCGCGAGGGGTGCGCCGCAATCCGCGGCGCCGGCATGCGGACCCTCGCAGTGGGGCCACGGGCGGGGTTCCCTCCGGGGGCACGTTCGCGAGGGGCGCGCGGGAACGGTCGGCGGCGCCGTGCCAACCCTGCCGCCGGAGCCGTGGGTGGAGCTCCCTGTGGGGCCCCGATCCTCGTGTCATGCTGGCCCTCCCACTGGGGCCGCAGGCCTCGCCCTCCGACGTCGATTCCCCGTGCATCTGTCAGCGTCCTGCGACGATTCCTCCGCAACATGGTCGAGCATGCTCCTCGACTGTCCTCGCCAAGGGATGATGGACAGATGCGAGCGACGCCAAGAGGTGGAGCTCCCACCCTCCCACTGGGGAGGGTAGGTGGCGCTCCCTATGGAAGCCCACACCTCGCGAGTGGTGTGCCGAAACGGGCGGGGTGGCCCCCTGCGTGGGCCCTCCCGCTGGCGCCGCAGTTGGGGCTCCTTGTGGGGGCACGATATGCTCATGAGGGGTGGCGCTGCGGATGCAAAACGGGAGCCCAGCCCCACACGGGAGAGGTAGGTACGTCACAGGAGAGTTATGCGACCGGACATGGGGGAGATGACACAGCTGGAGGGAAGGATGAAGTCGCGCGGGGCAGCGTGTTCAAAACGACAACCCTTCTTCCACTGGCGATTTGAAGATCGGGCCCCACATCGAGACGTATCGCCGATGCATTGGCGGATGCGGCGCGATCCTCCGACCCCATCTGCTCGAGACCGCAATTCGGTGGACGGGAAATATCCACTCCCCCCTGGTTCTAACCCGTTGTCCCCCACGCCTCATGGTCTCCGTGTCATATAACTCGGGCCGTCGACGGCAGCTCGGGACGTTCTGGGCCCCCCTGAAATCGAAGGCCTGGAGGTTCACACCAACACCAATTTCGGCGGTGTGCCCCCACCGAGGGAACATGATCCCAGTCTCGGTGATGGTGGTAATATTCGGGCTCCCAAGGTGTTGGTGTTGGTGCCCATTTCCAAGCCTCCTATGGGATGCTCGCGGCGAGGCGCATCTGCTTGGCAGCCTCCCGAGGCTGGAAAACAGACCGGAAGACGGAAACTCCAGAGAACCTCCGACATCGAACTTCGAGCCTCCCAACACCCCGAACCCCTCTCTTGGACGCCCCCGAGTCTGGGTGAGCTGTGGACCACCTCCGACGACGTTCGGAGGATCCGGGATGGTGGGACCCCCTGAGGCTCCCGTGAAGGACCACGCTCCCCTCTGCGCCCGTCCTTGATCCGGGCCAGCGTGTCTCCGCCGAAGGCCGCCTGCGCGCGGCTGAGGCGGTCCGCCTCGTTGTCCGTCTGGCCCTCCTCGGCCTCTCGCAGCGGGCGCCGGCGCGCCAGCGCGCGCTCCGGGGGGGGCGCCCCCCGGGCGGCGGCGGCCGGGGCAGGCCGGGCCCCTGCTGCAGGAATGGGAGCGAGGAGAAGCGGCGCCACCACCACCAGATGCCGCCCTCGGGAGGGGCCAGGGGGTCCCCCACGGGGATCTCGTCCCCCCCTCTCGCCCGAGACA